AACGATTGCAACAACAACCACAACAACGTCAACCACCACAGCAACCTCAACAACAGCAGCCCAGGCAGCAGCCACCGCGACCCCAGCAACAGCCACGTGGCAGACAACAGGCCCGTGTTTTTGCAGTTGACCAGAGAGAGGCCGACCAGCACCCAGGTACCATGTCCGGGATGATTATTCTTAATGATGTGCATGTCTATGCCTTATTTGATACCGGAGCGACCCATTCCTTTATATCACGTCGATGTCTCGAAACTATTGGGGTTCGTTCCACTACCGCTGTCGATCCTCTCGAGGTGAGTTTAGCCTCGGGACGAAAGATAGTGACTGACGCTAGAGCCACCGATCTCAGCCTTTCCATCGGCGGTCGTATTCTGATTACTGATGCTTATGTTATCGAGATCAGGGATTTTGACCTCATACTCGGTATGGATTGGCTAACAGTTTTTCACGCAGATATCCGATGTCACGACCGGGAGATTACCTTTTATCTTCCGGGAGATGATCAGACCACTTATTACGGCTCCAGGACTCGTACTCTACCTCATGTTATTTCTATGGCGAAAGCCAGAAAGATCCTTCGACGGGGTGATTGCCANGGTTACCTTGTGAGCCTCGTTGGAGATGAGCCAAGGGCACGTTCACCTCATGACATTCCTATTGTCCGTGAGTTCGTGGACGTGTTTCCAGACCAGCTTCTCGGAGGTCCACCTAGCCGACAGGTGGAATTTTCTATTGATCTTATCCCTGGAGTCGGACCCGTTTCTAAGGCGCCGTACCGAATGGCACCTAAAGATTTGCAGGAATTTAAAGACCCAAATTCAAGAGTTGTTGAATCTCGGTTTTATACGACCCAGCGTATCTCCTTTGGGAGCACCAGTTCTTTTTGTCAAGAAGAAGGACGGATCTATGCGTATGTGTATCGACTACCGGGATCTTAACAGGTTGACGATCAAGAATAAATATCCGCTTCCCAGGATTGATGATTTATTTGATCAGTTGAGAGGTGCCTGCGTATTTTCCAAGATTGATTTGCGTTCAGGCTACCATCAGCTGAAAATCAAGGAGTCAGACATACCCAAGACAGTGTTTCGTACGAGATACAGTCATTTCGAGTTTGTGGTTATGCCGTTTGGCCTCAGTAATGCCCCGGCAGTATTCATGGACTTGATGAACCGTGTATTTCATCCTTTTCTAGACCAATTCATTATTGTCTTCATCGACGATATTCTTATTTATTCCAAGAGCCAGAAGGAGCACGAGGAGCATCTGAGGGCCGTTCTTTCGACCCTTAGATGTGAAAAGTTATATGCAAAGTTCTCCAAGTGCGAATTTTGGCTTCAGCGAGTGGCTTTTCTTGGCCACATTATCACTCAAGCAGGTATTGAAGTTGATCCTTCCAAAATTGCTGCA